TTTCAAACGGGCCGGATCCGGCCCGCGGGCCGTAGTTTGCCCACGGCTGGCCTAGCGTCACATAACTGGTTAGTATGCAGCTGAGAATCCCGGGTTTGTCCAACTCCGGGTATGTGCTTACCCATTATGCTAGTCTCAGGAGAGGGAAGAGGAGAGTACATTGTAATGCTTGCTTGTTTTGGTGTGTGGAGGATGCTGCATATATGAGTTAGAGGATTTGTGTCCAAAGCAAAGAATGGAATTTGGGTTCAGAGAGGGATTTGTTGCTAGAATGTGTTGAGCCAAACCAAAGATTTTTTTGTTCAACTTTGTGATGATAGAGAGTGGGAACCATGGTGTATTTTCTTAAGCAAAAGCACTTTTAGGGCAAATGTTTTTAGGAGCTAAGTTTCTAGTAGTAAAGTTATTTGGAGGTAGAGTAGAACACAGTTTGACTGTCTACGTCTGAATACTGGCTCCTCCACTTTCTAGCTGTTCTGGTTTAGGCAAGTTACTTAGACTCTTGAGGGCCTCAATTTCCTCATCTGGGAAATGAGTACAATGATAGAATCCACCTATTGTTATGAGGTTTAAAATAGTTAACACATTTAAAGCATTTACAACAGTAATCTTCCTTAGCATATAGGGAAATTCTCGGTGAATGTTAAAAATCACTGTTAGTCATAATTAAAAGCTCTAGGTCAGGATACATGTAACCTGACATTGACTGTTGGCTCAGCTGTTTACTAGGTAAGTAACTTTGAGAAAATTATTTAAACTTTTTTGAGCCTTGGTTTCCACATTTATAGAATGAGGGGAAATAAGAGTACCTATGTGTTAGTTGTGAGGATTAAGTAAAATAATGTACATAAAGTTAAACTTAGCACAGGGCATGGCCCTCACTTAGGGTTCAGTAATTTGTGATAATGATGGTGACAGTGATGATAATGATGTGATTGGTTGTGGAAGGAGAAAGGTCTTAATTACTGAGAATCTATTGTCTGAGTTTTGTGATTGCCGAGAGCAGAGAGAAGTAAGAGTGGAGTTAAAAATGACCTGGACTTGGAAGGGTGTGGCCCAAGCATAGTGGCAATGGAAAGGGAGGAGGATTTGGAAGAAAAAAGTCCTGCAAAAATGAGGCTTTTTTTCTCTCCCTTTGTTCATATTAAGTTTTTATAAGCTTAGCTCATATCTATTTGGAATTTGTCACACAGACTGCTGGAAAGAGATTCAGAATGTGTGTTCTGAATCAGAATGCAGAGTTCATTTTTGCCTTGTCAGTTTGCTCCGATAGGTGGTGCTAGTGTTGCACCTTTGATCACAGAAGGAGAGAAATGCTTCCTGGAATTACACCTTATTAAATTTTTGAAAGAAACTCATTTTTGCCTTGACAGTTTGCTCCGATAGGTGGTGCTAGTGTTGCACAGAAGGAGAGAAATGCTTCCTGGAATTACACCTTATTAAATTTTTGAAAGAAAAAAAATCAAGAGAAAGACACAGATGTGAGAGTTGAAGACCTGAGTTTACCATTTGCCATTAGAATAAGAGACTGTGTTGTTAAGATACAAGCTTGTCTTTTCTTTTTGATTTGGGGGTGTGAGGGAAGTGGTATCCTATTTTTTTCCAAGTTAGAAAAAGAATGGTCTTCTCTTTGTGGAAACACATATGTGTATGGGGGTAAGGGGGGGCAGCGTATGTATATAGGCAAAGGGAGTACATGCAGGCATTGTAATCACTTTCTAAGACATTGAATTATAGAGATTTATTCTGGAATTTAGAAACTAACTAACCATCTAACTTCATTTTATAAATGAGGAAACTCAGACTTGTAGAAAGTTACTCTCCAAGGTCACACAACTAGTGATAATGACCTAAATGTTGTTTACAATGCTGGCTTTAACACAGTCTGTAACACATATCCAGATACATGTACACATACACATACCCCCTTAAATATGAAAAGTGCAAATAATTTTAGGATATTGCTAGAGGAAGGGTAGATGATGAAGGTTAGACCAAGATTTTCACGTTTCTTTCCAAGGCTGCTGTTTCCGTCACTCTGCTCCACCTGTGCCTTCTTGCTGAATCTTTAGTCTGACATAAGCTCCTACTTATCCGTTAAGTCACTTTCTTCCAAGAGTATTTTCTTTTATTTATCACTGCCATCATTTATAAGCGCATCCATGAATGAAGAATAAGGAAGTCAAGAGTAACCAACCTAGCCTGGCTGGTATGGTTCAGTGGTTGAGAATTGACCTATGAACCAGGAGGTCACAGTTTGATTTCTGGTCAGGGCATATGCCTGGTTGCAGGCTTGATCTCCAGTAGTGGGCATGCAGGAGGCAGCTAATTGATGATTCTCTCTCATCATTGATGTTTTGATCTCTCTCAATCTCCCTTCCTCTCTAAAATCAATAAAAAATATATATATATTTTTAAAAAGAGTGGTTAACTTAGTTATCCAAACTGAAGTGCAGGACTGTTCTATTTTATGCCACTAGAAATAAAACAGAGAGTGACTTTTTTTGTTTATTTACTATCAATGGCAATCTCAAGAATTTTGCCTTGCAAATTTGGGAGGGAGGGAAAAACAGAGACTCTATATGCATGAGTGTGAGAGAGTATGTGTATGTATATGATTTTTCTTTTGGAATGATATATATATATATCAGAATATTGTGAAGGTTAACATAAAGTAATAAAAATAAAATTCATACCTGCTCCCAAGCTCTGAAAAACAGAATCCATCATAGTAAAGGCTGACATTATAATCCCAGCATTCTTCTTATGAATTATCATGCTGCTCTTTTTAATGATGTTCATCAGCAGTCTCATAGGAACCAGATGCTCAGCCTTGCCTTTACCCCAGCAAGGCTTGGAATACAAGCAGGTGTCTGAGTGCCAGTGTGAAGGTGATGTCCATTGAAACACTAGTGGCTCCAGAGAGCGCGTGCGTGTAGTAGCTGAGACTGGGGAGCCTAAAGGCCGTTCTCTCTTGGAGGGTGACATGTGTTTAAGGGCAGATATATTACACAATTTATTTTCTTTAAACATATGAGCAAGATTTTTGGTTCTTTGGGAGGCTTACACTGGATACATCGTTCATGAGAATTATCCTGAAAAAAGTTGTCTTAACAAGACACAGAACTGAGAAGAATCTAGCTGCTATGTATATTTAATGTGGTATTTCTTTTTTGCCCAAAAAGTTTTAAATGATGATGCATCTGAGTCAATGGCTTAGGCCATGGGATATATAGAGGTGAAACTTTTAGATGATAGCCGTTCAGACGGTTTATCCACATTATGAATCTTGTCTCATTTCAGTGTGTGTTGCCCATTGACAGCCATATTGCCCAGTGGGCCTTCCTGTTCCCACAGTGAGGTTGCTACTGCACCATGCTGCCTCGTATTGCTGGAGATGGATGGGTGGTCTTGGTTGTTACTTCTGGGAATGAGAGCATATGTGCATGCGATGTAACTATTCTTCTCTCGTTTCAGTGCACGAAGGCAGCCCTCTGGGTGAACTCCATCGTTGTATCCGGGAGGGGGTGAAGGTGAATGTTCACATCCGCACTTTCAAGGGACTTCGGGGCGTCTGCACAGGCTTCCTCGTTGCATTTGACAAGTTCTGGAATATGGTAATTAAACCCTCCTTAGGGGGCTGGAGAACCTCTTGGGGATTAAATCTCTTATAAATCTGAAGATCCTGAGTAACCTTATTCAGTGAAACCTGTAGAATAACTTCCCAGAAGAACTAGAATCTACACTTTCTTGAGAAATAACAAAAAAAGTTTCTTTTATTGCTTCCTTTTCCTTAAGGCTGTGGCTTTCAGGAAGGGTGATTTTGCCTTTCTTTCCCTCGGGGGACATTTTTTTTATTATCACAACTGTGGGCTAGGGTGTTACGGGCATCTAGTGGGTAGAGGCCACGGATTCTGCTGCATGTCCTCCAATACATAGACACCCCCCAACAACAACAAATTATCCAGTGCAGAATGATTTTAGCCAAGATTGAGACACCCAGCCTTAAGCAATAATTACTTATTTCATCTGTTTAGTAATTTTATATTGATTTCCTATTAAAAATATTTATGTTCCACTTTGGCTGGGCACAGTGCTAAGTACAGAAGTTTCAGAAAGAAACTTCCACGCTACTGTTTTTTGAAGATATACATGGATAGAAGGGGAACAGACATATTAATAAGCAAGATAATTTACATGGTATTTCCTTATGAAGGAGTGTACCACACACTCCTAGCCTTCTAGAGGCTTACTGTTTACTAGAAGATATACCTGGATAGAAGAGGAACAGACATATTAATAAGCAAGATAATTTACATGGTATTTCCTTATGAAGGAGTGTACCACACACTCCTAGCCTTCTAGAGGCTTACTGTTTACTAGATATTTGAAGAAAAGTAGGGATGTATTATAGCAATGTCAGTCTCCAAAGAATTTTGCCTTGCAAATTTGGGAGGGAGGGAAAAACAGAATTTTAACTGTGGGGCTGTTAAAATAGGAGCCACCAGGCTTTCTAGTGTTTCTTTTCCATATGGTCGTTCATCTCCAACTTTTCCCTGTGCTTTATCTCCATCCATGCATTCCCCTGGATAATAATAATAGTTGCTAATGTGTACTAAGCACTTGGTATGTGCCAGATACTATACTAAGAACTTTACATATATTATCTCAATGAATAAATTGTAGGTCTGTTCCATTTCACAAATGAAGGAATTGAGGCTACAGATTTTGGAAGATTAGTACAGATCCTAGTAAGTGGAAGTACCAGGACTTTAGTATATATCTTTCTGACATCGGAAACCCTGGTTTTAATCCTAGCTTTACCACTTGGTAACTGTGTGACTCTTGGCAAGGTAATTTCTCTGAGGCTCAGTTTTCTCACCTCTAAAATGTAAGAATTTTTTTTATTATTATAATTTTACCTTTGAAGGAAAAGGATTTAAGAGAACATATGTAGTGAAAGTGCTGGTAATAATAATACTGTCAGCTTATACTTGTATGGTGATTTACACTTTTCTAAGTAACTTCTCATACACGATCTCATTTGATCCTAACAGCTGTCCTGTGCAGTTGATCTCTCACTGGTGAGAATTCATCAGCAATTAGTCTGTAACTCTGGTCAGTCTCTGTTAATTGCTGTCACAAAACATAGAAACTGGAAAGGGAAAAGATGCAGTAGAGTGTTTCTCAAAACATGGCCTAAAGCTACCTGCACCAGAATCGCCTGGGGTTTCTGGTTAAAACGGAAAGTTCCTGGGCTTCATCCCAGACCTATTGAATCTGAATCTCTAGGAGAGTAGTAGCCTAGGATTCACACTTTAATAAGCTTCCTGGATATTTATGAACAGTGACATTTAAGAACTTCTGTGCAGCCATAAAGGCCCCTTACCACAGAAGAAACTTGTCTTATGTGGTCATAGGCCACTTGGAAATTCTACTCAGAGGGGGCCAAGTATTACCTTTTTTTTCCTGCCCAAGAGCTGCTTCACTCAAGTTTAATTCTACTACAATTAGATGTTATTCTGCCTTAAAATTTTTTTTCCTGAAAGCTATAAAGATAATATTTTTAACTCCGCCTCATTTCCCCCTCTTTGGGCTATTTCTCTAGGCACTTACTGATGTGGATGAGACCTACCGAAAGCCTGTTCTAGGCAAAGCATATGAGCGGGATTCTTCACTGACTCTCACGAGGGTAGGCAATTTCTCCTGACTTCTTGAGTACCCAGCATGCTTTCAGGCTTAGGAATTAAGACCACTGAGCCCAGTGACCAGTGTTTCATAGTGGGAAAGCCCTGGTGCTGTCAACCAGGTATGCCTAGACCAATGGTCGCCAAACTGCGGCCCCTTGAGTGTGGCTCTTCCACAAAATACCACATGCGGGCGTGCACGTACAGTGCGATTGAAACTTCGTGGCCACACTCAAGGGGCCAAAGAGCCGCATGTGGCTCGTGAGCCGCAGTTTGCCGACCACTGGCCTAGACCAAGGTCTTCCTTAGTCTCTCTTCTCATGCATTCTTCTAATTTCAAATGAGTTTCTGCTTCAAACCTGCATATTATTTGAGCAACAAGTTACCTTTTATAAGGCTTAAAAGTCTTTCTGTTTTACCCAGTAGAAATAAGGTGCCTTTTCTCTTGACACACTTACTGATTTATCTGAGTTATAGGTAGAAATAAAAAATTCATTACTAACTTTTTAAAAGTTGTGAAGCAAGTTGTCCACAGAGCATAATTGAGGAATCTGTTCTTTTTTCCCCTGTATATTGAAAGAGGAATGTTTAAGGCTAATATTTATCTTTGCTTTCCTTATAGCTATTTGATCGACTAAAACTTCAAGATTCCTCCAAGAAGGAGGCAGATTCTAAGTCTGCAGTTGAAGACTCCACTCTGTCCAGATACTCCCAGACATCCACTTGGAAGGTAGCCTCAGTGTGGGGAAGAGAAGACACTGACCGGGGCTCACGCAAACATTCCCGCTCCGTCCCATCTTCCCTGCAGGCATCTACAAGGGAGGAGTCCAGGTCAGAGCTGTCAGGGAGGACTATTCGGACAGAAGGGTCTAGTGTGGGAGGTACCTTTTCCAGAGCTACTACCCTTTCTAGGGGCCAGTCCCGTAAGAAAAAGAGAAAGCCCAAAGTAGATTACCAACAGGTATTCACTAGACACATAAATCAGATTTTCATTCGAGGTGAGAATGTCCTGCTAGTTCATCTTGCACAGTGAGCAACTCTGCTTCACTTGAGCTTTAGTATTTAGAAACAAAATGCATGAATTGCTGCTATGCTGTATCCTAGTATCCCAGTGAAACCCTGAGTTGGAATTATCCCCTCTGGTACTGCATGTGTTGAGGAGAGAACCAGGCTCGGGCTCTCTGGGAGATGAGCCTCCCTGAAGGGGAGACAGGCCTTGGGAGGGTGGGTTGTTTGCATTAATATCAAAGCAGTAATACCAGGCTGCATATGAGTACACACATCTGATTTGGTATCATGCTCTACTTCAGACACTCAGACCAAATATACGATCTTCCATTTGAATCAGGGGTTATAGTATGAATTAAATTGACTCTAAGGACTCTTTAGTGTGGAGAAGAAAAACCGCAAAAAGAATGATCTCATTTTAAAGCTAGTACTCTGAATACTCACAAATTTGATTCTAAGAGTAGCAGTATAAATTGCCCTGGAACCCTACACCAACATCTTGTAACTGACTGTTGAATTTTGCTCTCCACCATTCTCTCTTAATCAAGAAATGTAATCTATTATCTTTGGATATCTGTAAGATCTAAGAAAGCTACCAATTTATGTAAGGGCAAAATTTGAAAAGTTGGTATGCTTAAAGCAGCCAGCAATGAATGCCCTGTTTTTATCCCTCCTTATTATGGAAAGGAATGTGGGACCTCAGCAGTCTTCCCTTACCAGAGGTAACTTCTGTGAATGACATACCAGATGGAACTATAAGATGCTCGTGTGGTGGCTTCTTGTCTTTCTCTCAAACTTCTGTGGCATAGTGCTAGTGCATGTACCCTGTGTATTGCCTCTCTGTGACCTGTCCTATAAGCTTTATGGCAAGAGACTGTGACCTTCAAGTCTGTCTTCAAAGAGTGCTGCATGAACTCTGTAATATACATGCACCATACAGCTGAGAATCCCTTTTCCAGGCAGGGCTGGTCTTATGTAGAATATCTTTCAGAATGGTTTTCATGAGACAGCAGCAGTAGTTTTATTCCCTGTGTCAGACCAAAGAGGTTCTTACAAACTAGAGTAGGTGTGTCTGTAAGGGACACTTTACTCACAGCCAGCTTCAGTAGCAGAAATACCATAGCACTCTCCAATACTACTTGAATCATGCTATATGCTTTCTCAGTCATCAATGCAGAATAGGCTACAGACTGTTAGGTAACATTGAATTTTTTTGTTTTGTTTTGTTAGTTTATGTTTTATTTTAGATAATTCATATTCAAATTACAAATAAGAAATAGCTAACTAGTTAAAATGCTTGAAAAGAAAAATTTCCCCTGCTGTATTTGTTGTGTAACTTAGATACCTGGTCCTTCTGCTAGATGGGTCACTGGCTTATCATATAATGAAAGGAGAGCCTCAGTGTTTGCCCATCAGACACCTACCTCACAGGAGCACTGAGACAACGAATTTTAGGAAGGCATTTTAAAGTCTCTAAGCATGTTTTGGAACCATGAGTCATTTTTACTAACTCTACTTCATGGTTTGGTTAGAATGCTTATGAGCAAGGCAGGTAATCTCTGTAGGTATCATAAGTATGATCTTGCTGTGATCAGAAGGCAGCGGTATCTTCAGGAACTATTTCCCATGTTCCATTCCTTTCTCCTAAAGGACAATGGGAGTTTCAGAAGAATATCTTGAGTAAGATGAGAGTAACATTTCTTTGCTGCTCCTCTACATCCTAGCCCCTACCCTTTCTGATCATTTTTAGAAAGGATTCCCCTGAATTTCTCATCAGTTTGTATGATAATACCAAAGGGAGAATGAGCATCTAAAAACAACACATCCCTAAAAGGGAATTTGTAGAAATTGTTTTGTTTTATTTTAAAATGCATTTTAAATATGTTTTTTAGAGCCACAGAAGATGTATTAAATATTTAGAGAGGTTCCAGATCACAAACTTGAACCATCATCTTTGGAATCTGCCAATCTAATCTCTTCTAAATAATGTGTCTAAAAGTTCAGTTCCCCAGTTAATAGTTGTCTTGTTTAATCATCAGGCACCCCTGCCTCTACCTCTTTACCAGTCTCCCTTGTTTGGCTGTCCTATCTGTCTGCCCTCTTGTTCCTTAGCTAGAAGCTGTAATGGATATTAGATTTTTCCAATAAAGTAGAAATTTGGAATCAAACGGAATATAATCAATTTCTGTTTCAGTCTAGTGCCTGATTAAATCTAACCTAATTTATTTTACATAATGCTGGTTTTCATAATGTTTGTATATAATTTTTATATATTCATGTAAGGATTGATTTACTGCTTTTTTCTACCCAACTTAATAATTCTGGCTCTGAAAAATTTAAAACTGTGATATGTCTTAGATGCCCATTTATTTGTTTGGTTTGGACAGTGATCCTGGAATGATTGAACTATCTAGTATTGTGTTATTTTGTGCAAAGCATACTTTTTTAGAGAAGTCAGTTTTTAAAAATCATAGCCTTTTTCTTTATTATTGGAGAAATTTTTCATAAGGAAGAAAAAATAGGTCCTAACAATGTATATGTTGCTCAAAAAATGTGATCATCTAGGATATTATAGTAAGTTGCTATGGAAACAACTGATGTCTTCCTCAAGAGGAGAGAAAAGGAGGCAGTAACCACTAGAATGGTAGAGACCTGGGGGCCCCTCCACCTGAAGGGGGCTCTAAGCTGCTGCAGGTCAGCAAAACTGGTTTCTAGTATTCCCCAGAGATTTGGATTTGGGAAACTTGGTAGGAATAATACTTATTTTTGAACATCCATTTTGGTTCTTCAAAGTAATCTCCAAACATGGGAATGTGTTTTCCGGACATTTCACAGGGCATACCTATCTGTGTACTTGTTGAGGTCCTCTCAGGAGTTTCCAGCTTTGTTAGATAAGAACAAGGGATTGAGAAATTGAAGATATGCTATTACACCCAGAATAGTTTCGTGTGCCATTCTTTGTACAGAGAGATGATTCTACTGCTCTACCACAAGGCGAACTTGCACTTTAGGTTGTTCATTTTAGTATCTGGAAAGCATTTATGCTTCCTTTCAGAGACAGACCTCTTATGAAAGAGGTGGGCAGTTGGTGAGATGGTTAGCCAGAGTTAGCAGTGTCTAAGCAGTACCCTGCCTGCTCTCTGCATGTCAAGCCAGAAAGCTTAGAAACCTTTAACACTAAAGTCTAGATAGGAGTCCTTACTATGAGTTGTTAGTGAATCAAGAGGGGTTCATCTGTTTTCATGGTGGAATAGTCTAAAAGCACCTTTAGAGATTGTCAGGTCATGAGCCATGAGCTGCTCTTAATCCTCAGAAGCCTTATGGAAAGTAGGTGTACTGCTTCTATTCCTTGAGAAAAAATAGAACCTAACTTGATGAAGAGTAGATATTTATATTTATGTTTGCACTGTTCCTGTAGTAGCTGACATGGGTAAAATAATGAAATATAATAAGTTCTGTAAATTACTTGTTTAAATTTTGTCTAATTTTGCCTTTAGGAAATAATTTAAATTATTCAAAGATAGCTAGCTATCCTAAAGTTTTCCAGTCTTTTGTGTATTTTTTTTATGAATGAAATGATTTCTGTGGTTCAGGTCAAGGTTTATGTAAGTGTATCATGGTATAAATATAATGGTTTTCCAGCTGTTCTAATTTCTCTTTTCCTGTGCCAGATACAGAATGCAGTCAACCCCTTCTGTTCATCAGCCTGTGTTTTTCAGGGCAGTAACTCCCAAAAGGGTTTTCTTAGTGATTATAAAGCAAGAAAATCTTATGTGGGCTTGTGTTACAAAGGTGGGTGGTCTGTCATTGCTTTCTGACAAATTGAGTGATGGGTTTAAGATAAGCCTTTGGAGTTCCTGTCACAGTTTCCTGGGCTCCAAGGAAGGGTTGGGCCTTCTTTACTCTCAGTGTTTTTCAAATGTTTGTAAGTTCTCTTGCACCCCTCTAATAAAAATGAAAGCTCTCTGTCAAGAAATGGCTTTGGATGATTCGGAGATCGAGGGGGGCGAAAGTACACCTGAGACCTTCAGTTGGTCTTTTATTTATTTAGAATAAAGAATAGTCTGATAAGCAGCCAGAGTTAGTGCTCCTTTAAAAACACTCTGAAAAGATGGGAACTCTCCCTCAGGAAAACTACAAAAGCTATTCCCAGTACATTGCAATTGCTTTTGATTTTTAGTCCTTTGAGCAAATGTCTGATGTTATGTTTTTTGAGCTGTGGGGGAAATATATCTAAAAATTTTTAACAGATATTATTTAAACAATGATTATCTGACTGAATTCTGTGTGAGCTAGGCTCTAGGGCAGCTGCCCAGTTCTTTTTCTGTTGTCCTAGCAGTAAAGCAGATAGTAAGTGATGTCTTAAAAAGTGATTTACTGACATCTAAAGACATAACCTTCTGGGCTACCCTGGGAATACCCCTCTGCAAATATTTACTGTTTTTTTTAGACAAGGCTAAACCTGGATGACTCTATGAATTTATAGTTTTTCTATTCATATACCAGCTGCTAAATGAAAAACCATGATTTATAATCTCGTCTTGAAATTACTCCTAATTATTAAGTTCACCTAACCCCTTCCTGTTTAGGGAGGATTGCTGCTAGTAACGTCAGTTTGCAATGTTCTGCTTTAGATATGTGTCATATGGGAGTCTGGAAGCTGTAATAAATATGATTGTATTAATGTACTGGCTGCTTTGTCTGTTGATTTTGGGGGAAGGGAGAGGAGGCAGGAAAGTCTGCTACCAAGTGAAGACACCGACCTAGAAAGTTAAAACATTTCTAGCAATGTTATTGTTGTAACCTTCTGCCCTTCTATTTTCCTTCTTTTTTTAACCAAAGCACACACATCTAGATTTCTATCCTGAGGTAGCTTTATTCTTCCAAGTTTATTTGGCGTTCATGCTTAGAAAAGAAACTTGGCCCACGTTGCAAATTATCTCTTCTAAGCCCCAAGCAATGGTAATTGCTCTGTGAATTCATTCCACATAATAGCTCACTGGCATTAATCCACTGTCTTCACGATCCACTGTCTTCACGATCTACTGAGGTCACCATTGACTGCTCCCCTCTGACTGTTTTGCCACATCTGATTAATCGATCCTCACTGCTTCCAAAAATGTCTGAATTTGCTACCAGCTTTTCTCTGTGCATGTACAGAAAGTTGAACTGCACAAAGATTTGCCACATTGATTACTTGATCTCCTTGGTGTGCTTCCAGAACTGAGTCACCTTGGAAAGATGGACAAGCAAAAATCATCTCGATTCTTAGAGAGGGAAACTCAAGTTAACTATCAAGACCCAGTTCCCCACTTACTATGTTGGACTCAGCTAACATACAGGAAATTTCTAACAACTGAAGATGTTAGAAATGCTCCAGTTCTGGCCTTGCTTGTTTGTTTTGTACCTCAAAGATTCCTGATTAAATGAGAATGTCCTCATTAATCAAAATAAAGGCGAAAGAATCAGCTAGCTTGACATTTAAAATATACAGTGACAGTTAAATATTGGCAGCAGAATGGAGGCCAGTGGAATGACATATATCACTCTTTCCCTATGCTTTCTAGGTAGGACTGTCAAGGAAAGAAAGTTTCTTGCCCAACTATATTCTCTCCTTGGATGAAAATAAAGCTTTTTTTTCCAGTCTGCTAAATTACCACTAGGTGGCAGTGGGTTAAAGAGAACGGCTTAACTAGAAACTAGAAGTCCCAGAAGGACCTGCCTCTCCAGATCTCCAATCACTGCAACAATTAATTGTTAAATGCTCACACATCTGGACTGAGATAACCAAGGAAAACCAAGCTACAATAAACTCAAGTGACAATATAAACATTTCTTACCAATATTGAATTTACCAAATGTGAAACTTAGGAAGCCTGACTGATGGCAGTCAGCCCGTGAATGTGCTTGGCAAAGAGTGTTTAAAAAAGAGATTGCCCAGTGTCCACTGTTTTAGGGAGTCTATTGCTATCCTCATATCATGAGTTTCCTCATTTCATCTTGGAATACTGTCAACTCCACTCAGCCTCTTCCTATCTGCTGGCCAAGGATCACCCTGTAAAGCTGTCTTGAAGTCCCTATTTCTCAGCGGCTGTTTGAATTTTGGAAACAATCCACCCAGTGTGGATGCCTGAGAGCCCATTTGTGAGAAAGGTTGCAGCTCTCTTGTGATCTCACAACCAGAATTGGGCCTCCAAAACTGCAAGCAAATATGCTGTCAAGTCAGAGGAAAATTTATAATAGATACAGAAAAGTCTGTAGTTTTAGGCTGGGCACCAGGGCAAAAGGAGGGGGTGGACAGTGCCAGGAAGTCTCAGCACTTCATGTCAACACCTTCAAAAGACCTTCCCCTCTCTACCTCAAGAAATAATTTCCCACCAGCCTCTAGTGAAGAGAAATACAGTATGTGCAGTAATAGATACTATCTTCAAATGCATAAATTAAAAATAAGATTACAATAAAGAGCTTTGTCTCGTGCATTTTTGGACCTTGGTAGCTTGTACTACACTCAATCACACTATGTGAGAGGGAAGAGGACAGACAGAGCGTGCAATGAGAAATACTATAATTTTTTAGCATTTCAACCCTGTGCCAAACACGTTACATGCACGATTATCTTGTTTACATACAACTGCCGTGAGGAAAATTTTTGTCCCTATTAATATATGGGAAGGAACATCTTTCTGCTAATAAGTGGTGAATTAGCAATTCTATCTAAATCTCTCTGACTCATAAGTTTGTTGTTAGTCAGTTGCACCCTAAAATATTATACTCCTTAGGTATTATCTAGCAAATTTAAGGGCATGCTGAGATATCCCCTTAGACTAATCAGATACCAGAGGGCTGAATTTAAAATATGGCTTGTTGGTTTGCTCAAGTGTCTAGTTCTAGTCTCTTCTGATTTGCACTGTTCTTTGACAAGCGGTGGATGTGCACTCAGGCCTTCATGGCTTCCAGAGAGGACCAGGGCAGCGGGCACTCCCAGGGCTGTGGACCAGTGGTGGCCCTGGAAAGGGTGGCTGCCAAATGGTATTTTACCCACTAGTTTGGGCATTGGAGGGTTATCCATAGAATAGTCTTGTTAAAAAGACAGAGTGACTCGTGGTTTTTCCCAATTCTTCACTGTGCATTTAGAAAGTCTGCCACCCCTTTCTTTCCATTGTGTTCCAGCACTTGGGCAGAATGCTTTCTCTTAGTCTTGACTATACACTTACCTGATTTAAACAACTCTTCTCAAAGCTAAATTATGGATATGATAAAGCTACAGAAAAATACAGAACCCAGAGTCTCCTGAGACCTAAAAGGGGTCACAAGCAGAAAGGTTTGGTAAGTCTTGTAAAAGGTTGGTCTATCTTGTAAAATTCCCACCTACTTTATGATGTGTTAATTCCCAGAATATGTCAATCCTGGGAAGAGCCCACTATCCTAGGCTCTTTCACTAGTTACTTCAGAGTCTCAGTTTCTGGATCTCTAAAATAGGGACAATAACACCTGCCTCATAGGGTTGGTGATGAAACGTGCTTGGTCCAGACAGCAAAGACTGTCCTTCCTGCTGTGATGAGCTTGCTGTGTGATGCTCAGCAGCTTTCTTCGCTTCCCTGTGCTTGTGTTTCATGTCCTGAGACCGGGCCTGGCAAACAAATGGACACAGCAGCATGTTGTCATCCTTTAGACTTACACACAGGTGTTTGAAAGATTGTTCCCAGGCTGCCTGAGTTCTCCTCGCTTCTTCAGTAGGCTCTCCCTGGGTTAAAACTTCAGAATATCATCAACTTCCCCACTGCTGGGAGAGCTGTGTGCTCCCCCAGGAATGACATTAGGCTCCACGGGACATTCATTAGTTGAGGTTACGAAAGGACCACAGGGCACTGGAATGGTAATTTCCTACATGGGACCCCAGTGACCCAGAGCGAGCTAGCTCAGCTGGTCTGAGCATGTGGCTAATGAGGGAAGGGTCATGGTTTCACTCCTGTGTGGGCCAATTAGTGTCACGTGGAAAAGCACGCTCCTGGGCCATCAGACAGCAGCCTTACATGTGTGGCACTGCTCACCGGGATGGCTCAGTAGCTATCATCACTATCGAAAACCCAACCCAAAACCTACATTTTTTTTCTTATTGCATAGGCTATTGTTTCCAAAACTTGGGTCATTTTCGGAGCTCCTTCATGATTTTTTGCCTTATCACAAGTAGATCACTGCATTTTTATTCAGAATTTTTGTATAAATTGACTCACTTTTTAGCTTACACTTAAAAGTGTTGGTGCATCACTACCATCAATAGAAAATTGGGAAATTTGCCCTAAATTTAAAGTATACATTAAAATAAATATACAACTATTGAAATTAAAATGTTAATCTTCAAACCAACTGCAAACACCTCCTGAGCCACAAGTGATCAGTGTAGTGTGTGTTAATAAATGTTGCAGGTGTATAAACTGCAAGTGTTATATAATACATTGTTCTGTAATAAAATGGTCACATCAATAAAAACAGTATTATAAAGCAATTGCTTTAGTGGGAAGAGTTGGGAACAGTGACTGGGGAGTTTCACACTTGAAGCGATGAAATTATTCTTGTAAGAATTTTAACACAGATGTCTTCCTAATAGCCATAAATATGTAGCTATAAAACCTAAACTGAACAAATCTAGGGTTTAATTTACATCTAGCTTTAGCTCAAAAGTTGTGGCTTTCATTTGCACTCTCTGCTGGTATTATTAACACTGTTTCTTACACATCCTTATCATTATCATCCATTTTATAGTAAACAAAGCACAAACATGAAAGCAGATGTGTAGTCTTCACAACACCTCGTTCCCCTCCAGTTATGAGCCAGTTTATGCTACTCTCCCCAGTTGGCCAGTTCCTTATGGAGATCAAGATACAACCAATAGTGGTGTTGGTAATAAAAATATATTCCCTAATTAATTGAACATGTTACATTCAGTCCATTTATGAAAATGTGCACTGGAGGACAAATATACATAAAAAGCAGACACACACACACACACACACACACACACACACCTCTTCAGGGTGGACAGAGAGCTCAACACATTAAAAATGAAGAAATGTCAAAGCAGTGTGTATATTTTATAAATTCAGGTTGAATGAGGGCAGCTTTCAATCCTCTGTGTACCTGTGAGTGGGTGTTTAGCCTCATTTGGAGGTCTCGATGTGAGGTCTTTGTGAGTGTGAGGTCGGTCCAAGGGTCCTCCCTCCCTGCCCCCAGGTCAGGAGATGAGCCCTGCCAGGAGCATTAACTTATATAGAGATCTGGGTTCAAATATACCATAAGGCAGAATGTGACATTTTAGCAATGTGGAAACAAAGTCTGTGTGTAGAACAGTGAGAAGATGAATAGTTTTCACTTTTCTTCTTGTGTTCCCCTTACCTTGTGGATTCTTGCTGCAGTCACTCCCATTATTTCAGTGCTGCTTGAGTTATCCCACTTTAAAAAAAATACGTTTTTTATTGATTTCAGAGAGAAAAGGAGGAGAGAGAGATAGAAACATCAATGATAACAGAGAATCAATGATTGGCTGCCCTCTGCAAGCCCCACATTGGGGATTGAGCCCACAACCTGGGCATGTGCTCTGACCAGGAATCGAACTGTGACCACCTGGTTCATAGGTCAGTGCTCAACTGCTGAGCCACACTAGCTGGGCGAGTTATCCCACTTTTACAGC